TAAATAGGTAAATAAACTATTTAATTTTCAAATATTATGCTCTATTCGTTGTCTCTTATACATTGTTGGATGAGGAGCACGTAAACCTGTTACAGCGATCCTACTTATGACGGTAACTCTGACACAGTTAGGAGATGAATTCAATGAATACGACGATATGTTTGATAAGTTGAAGTTGAGGATGTTTATACTATAGAGCATACTGAGGTGTCATCATAAGAAGACGTCGATCGACCTCTTTCATTTGGAAGTTGTTGATGACATTGATACATTCAACAACTATCCATGGGACAAAGCTGACAGTTATCAACTCTTTTCAACGATCATGAGGTACATATTATTCATTTGTGATTTATGTTGTACGTCATTTCGAAATCTCGATGCATGCATGGTCATTAACTCGGTGAAATATTAATATGTCAGCTTGAATTGCTCACTGAGCTGATATCGTTGATCAAAGAGGAGGGTCAGAGTCATATCTGAGGAGATACGGTCTGCAGGCGATAAGGGACCCAGATAGTGATAGAGAATAACGAAGATGGTGACAAGGAGGTGGTGGTGGAGGGGTGGGGATGTACACAGATGTTTCATTAGAATCGTTATGAATGTCAGTGGAGATGGAAGAGGTGCCGATGGTGGGGATGAAATTATTGTAAATATTTTTTTATTTATGAAATAATTGTATATATATTGTAAGATTTATTTAAATAAAGTAATGAAATATTAGATACATACTACACACAACCAATTAAGATAATTTATAAATGAAATATCTAAATAAGAAATTAAATTAAATATTAATTTTTTATTTAATTAAGTGATGAAATAAATAATTAAACAACGTAATTAAATACTAAATAAATAATATACATAACTATGTCGAAGAGGACCCCCAACTTGACAGATAACGTCACGAGTTTGGATGACACCCTGCACGAAACATATTATTGACGTGCCAGAGCAAATGGTTAGTAAGAGGACTAGATTGCTGTCACAATACATTGTTTCTCTATACACGATCGAGACAAAGAAGAGAACATCTGTTGACAGTACGTTGCCCAACTTCTTCCGTGAAATCGACTTGGGTGATTGTGAAATCTTCGCATTGAAGTTAGGACCGTAAATGGATCGGATCTGCTCAAATTCGATCCGATCCGTTAATAATAATTATCCTATCCGATTCGATTCAATAATCCGACGGATATTTGAATGTTAAATCCATATCCGATTAACTATGTTATTGGATATCGGATTCGAAATTGAAAAAATTAGATAAATAAAGATTTTATTTATTTATCAGATTAGATTGACCTATATCCATATTTGATTCTTTTAGTTAACGGATTATCGAATTTGAATCTCGATTGGGTTATCGGATTGAGATCCTAAATCCATCTCCCATTAATTTCATCGGATTCGGATCAAAATCCAATCCACTGACAGCCCTAATTGAAGTACATTGAATTTTTAGTATCGAATGTGGCGTAGAGCTAATAAACTAAACACACATTAAAATGCAAGCGTTCTTTTATTTAAATTGTGATCCGTAATTATAATAAGGATTAATCTAGTGGTACATTGGGGGATCCATAATGGTGTCCAAAATGGACACATGGATCCCCCCTAAAATAGGGGGGATCCATGTGTCCATTTTGGACACCATTATGGATCCCCCAATGTACCCATAACATGGCCCTTATAATAATTTCAAATGTAAGCTTTTTTTTTTAAACGTTTGTAATACTTTAATTTTTATGTAATTGTATAATAAATAACTAATTACTCTTAATTACATATATATCACACTATAAATAAAGAAAATTGAGGAAATCAGTAACACACTATAAATATAAAGTACATAGGATTTAAATAGATATTACACATCCGTTGGGTAAAGAGTAACATACTATAATCGGGAACTTCTCACTTGACTTCATTTAGTAGATGAAATATAGTTTCGACATTTTTGAATAATGTTCAATGTATTGAAAATGTGACCGTGCCTAAAGTTCGACTCCCATTTCTGTTAGATATTCTCATACATTGTGTGATTTATGTTCTAATTAAATATTAAATAAGTAAGATACATAACCAATCAAGGTAATTAATTAATGAGACATTTAAAGGATAAATTAAATTAAATATTAATTTTCTATTCGAATAAGTGATTAAATAAAGTAATGAAATATTAAATAAATAATATACTTAACAAATTAAGATAATTAATTAATGAAATATTAAAGAAGAAATTAAATTGAATATTAATTTTTTATTTGAGTAAGTGTTTAAAATAAATAAGTAAATAAAGCAATTAAATATACATAACCAATTAAGGTAATTAATAAAAAAAATATTTAAACGAGAAATCAAATTAAATATTTGATAATTCTACATGTACTAATATATAAGGATGTCCATAATATACATGTGAAATTCCATGAGTGGAGGATCGAAAAAACTGTTTTTCAAATCACCAATAATATTATGTCACTTGTACATTATAATATAATGTTTTTATTTAAATAAGTAACTAAAATAAAGTAATTAAATATCAATTACTAATAATAGACATAATCAATTAACATAATTAATTACTGAAATATCTCAATAAGAAATTAAATTAAATATTATTTTTATTTAATTAAGTGATTAAATAAATAACTAAACAAAGTAATTAAATATTAAATAAAGAATATACATAATTAATTAATGAAATATTTAAATAAGAATTAAAAAAATATTAATTCTTTTATTTAAATAAGTGATTAAATAAATAATTAAATAAAGTAATTAAATTTTAAATGCATAATATACATAACCAATTAAGATAATTAATTAATGAAATATCTGAATAAGAAATTAAATTAAATATTAATTTTTATTTAATTAAGTGATTAAATAAATAAGTAAGCAATAAATAAATAAATAATATACATAGCTAATTAAGACAATTAATTAAAAAAATATTTAAATAAGAAATTAAAATAAATATTAATTTTTTATTTAAATAAGTGATTAAATAAAATAATTAAATATTAAATGAATGATATACATAACCAATTCAGGTAATTAATAAAAAAATATTTAAACGAGAAATCAAATTAAATATTAATTTTTTTATTTGAGTAAGTGTTTAAAATAAATAATTAAATAAGGACCAATTAAGATAATTAATTATTGAAATATTTAAAAGAGAAACCACATCAAATATAATTTTTATTTTATTTTAGTAAGCGTTTAAAATATATAATTAAATATACATTTATCAATTAAGATAATTAGTTAATGAAATATTTAGATGAGAAATCAAATTAAACATTAATTTTTTTATTTAAATAAGTGATTAAATAGATTAATTAAATATTAAATGAAATAATATACATAATCATTAAGATAATTAATTAATAAAATATTTAAACAAGAAAGTAAATTAAATATTAATTTTTTTATTTAAGCAAGTGTTTGAAATAAATAATTAAATATAAAGTGAAAAATATTTGATTTTTTAATTTGTAATTTAAAGATATTTTTTTAAAAACAAAATTTTATCTTTGTAATTGTATAAACTACTCAAAAATATATTTGTCTTTTACTCAACAAATAACCATTCTGAAGATAGACAAATATTTTTTGGTCAAAGTGAAAAACTTGCCTAATTTGAAAATTACCCCCTTCTTCTCGGAGCTATCTAGGCTTCAAGCCTTCAAGAATACGAAAGATTCTTAGATTGGGTACACTTGAATCTTCAAATTGTGACCAATCTTTTTCAATTGATTTCGGAAAATCATATCAATAATCAATGGGGAGGAGGATTGGAGGAAGGAGCGTCGACTGGCGGGCATGAGTGCAGCTGGTCGTAGAGTTAAACTTGATCTGTTCGCGGAACCCTCTGGTAATTATCGGTTAAATTGTATGCGTATGTAAGTTTTTGTGTATATTTATAGCACGTAGATAAATATATAGTTCAACCTTTTCAATGTCACGTTTCGGACTGGTGAAGCAGTTGATATTGTGAACTTCCAGGCTTGACTTTCCCCCTATTTTAGTCAGCTCAGTGAAGCTACCTTGTGAATTTTTGTTGTCGAGCTTTTTCTGGAAATTAATATTTTCTAATCTAGTTCATTATCTTTGTCTGCTGCTAATAATTGGATTCTTCAATACTGTCACGTTGAGTTACTTGATGAATGTTGCACACTAAGTTCCAAGATTGGTAAATCCACCATTTTCTGATATTATCTTTAGTGATTTTTGGCCTTCATAGCGGAAATTGACCAATATCTGTATGGTTATATGTAATTTGGTCTTAACATTGTACTCTCTTCCTTTTTTAGGAGATGTGGGTGCCTCCTCTACCCAGGGTAAAGTTGGAGAGAATTGTGACACCGAAAATAGTGTGGGGTCACCCAATTCACCATCATCATCAGGTGGGTTCTGTCAGTTTTCTTCAAAAAGGACTGCTGTTTGTAGAGAAGACATGATTTGACCGCCTAAAATATTGGTGGAAATTGTTGATTTCTTCATACAAGACATGTTTTTTGCACACCCGAAAGATTTTGTTTTCAGATTGTAGGGCAGCTGTGGTATTTGAAACAATCATTTGGTAATCAGATTACATCAACCCTGCCACAGGGAATTATGATGAAAACTTTCAACCTACCCTACTTGGTGGTATCAAAGGAAGTTTGGAGATCTCAACAAGGAGTTTTTGCCCATTGGTTCGTATATCTTTGACTTCTTGTGCTTTTCACCATACTGATGATTTTCAATTTCTGTTGCAGGTGTAATGGTTATGCAGACTAATATAAATTTTGACTCATAATTGCCTATCTAATATTTTTTTGGACTGCTTTGGAATAGTTTCACATTCCAAACTGCACATATTTTTGCTTCTACTAAAGAGTGTTGGTTATTGCAAGTTGATTTCTTATTTGTAATTTTGGAGGCATTTGACAATTTAGAATCTTGTATACAGGACAGGAACCAGGGAATCCTCTCCTGCTGCTTGAGCAGTATAGTGATGACGAATTGGATGACAATTCAAATGAAGGAAAAAATCGAGCAGTTGCCGAGGACCCATCTCACCATCTGTTGACATTGATGGCCAGATGATTTGCACAAGCATTACCTATTTTTCTTGCATGATGTCACATGTTTAAATGGCAACTGTTGTGTTCTAGAACCAGTGCAAGAATTTTCAATCCAGCTCTTTTAGTGTAGCGGGAAACTTGTCATGCCTTTTTGTTGACTTTTGGTTCTTATATTTTCTTAATTAATTTGTCTCGTATTCATCTTCTGATTCTTGTCAAATGCTGTTTTAATTGGGTCTCGATTCTATAGGCTTTCTGCATCACTGGCATTTCATTCTTTGTATATTGGTTGTATCCTAGCCCATCATACCTCTTTTGCTTTTAGTTTTCATGATTGCTTTTATTTTCTGAGACGTGCTTCTAGGTGGAAAATTTTGGTGACTGCCAGGTTTTTTATTTTACAAGTGCCATTAGCAGGTGTCTCATGCTGTCTTTTTTCTTGCTTCATTGCATTTATACTCTCTTTTTCTCAGATGAAAATTGCTGCTGGGGAAGAAAGTGGAGATATTGGCACCAACGATGGGAATGAGCATTTTGTTCTAAAGTTGGAAGAGTTTGTGATAGATCATGATTCTACTTCTGCGAATGGTTTTCAGAAATTCAATTCGAGACAGTGAGATTGTAGATTCTGGTGATTTGGACGGAGGCACAAATCCAGCAGAAGAAGTTACATATCCTGAAGTGTCTGATATGCAAGTTGTTGGATATGTGAGTACAGGCTCGAAGGTCGTGTGGCATGAAGAAAGTAATCAATCTTATTATTGGTTGCACTCTAAGGGGCAGATGAAACAACTTGAAGTAGCCATAGGTGATGTTATTCCATGATAATGCACTGACGAGTGAAGTTGTGGTTTCAAATAAATCATTTGAAGGCATTGGCGATGCAGTTGTTTCTAGTGAAAAGAAGCCATTGTTTCCTGTTGTAGTTACTCAAGCTTCTGACTATGCTGCTCAAGACTCATATTTTAAATCTTATGGTAACAGTGCCATTACTGCTGGACATGTTCCCTCAAGTGAGCATCTTACTGCACATTCATGTTTAGGTAATAGTTCAGGAAGAATCAGTGAAGTCGGTGGACTTGCAATTCATAGTGACTTCACCCCCAAAACTATGCTTCATTCTATGGAAGAAGTAGACATGGATGTGGACATAGAAGTTGAAGATACAGTTGCTTCAGCAAAGTCACCTCTTCAAGATGCATCAGGTGCTGAACCTAACCTCCCATCAGAGCGATTAAATTTGCATAATCTACTTGCTGATCAGGACTTTTCAGTGAAGGGGAAATAATTAGATCTCGAGCCTCCTCCCCTGCCACCTGATGAGCTTCCTGAAACCTCTTTCCTTCTACCATCTCATCTAGAGTTAGGACAACCTTTTACATATACTGAACAGTACAACCTGTCATATCCTGACAGCAGTATTGAATACTATGGGCAAACGAACACGGAACTTTCTGGTGCTAGTCTCTACACACATGCCGAGGGAGGTCAGGTAGCTGCCTCCCATCTACCAGATTATTATGACAATGTCTCCAATGTTGATGTGGACATCCTTCATCAAGCCATTTGTTTGGGCCTTCTTATCTTCCATTTATTTTAGGTCTTATATTTTATTGGGCTTGTATATGGGTTTAGCCCAAACCCTCAAATTAGGTTAATTATTTTGTTATTTATATGGTTGTAATTGGATTGAAAATCCGTTGATGAATTGATGAATTAAATTGCTTGGTTTGTTGCCGAAGTTTTGCCTCTTCTTCCCTTCTCCTCCCCTGTTTCTTCTCCGGTCTTCTCCCCCCATTCTCTCTGGTTCTCCCCACTTTCTTGCTGCCTATTTCTTCTTAATCCTCGTCTTTTTTTTTTTTGCTGGTTATTTGTTCAGCTGTTGAAATCCCCTTGATCCTACAACAGTTTTGGTATCAAAGCTAAAACTTGGAAAATACTTCACTCATACTCCAGAAATTTCCTCCTGTCATCTTCACAGCCTCCTGCTCCTCACATCATATTACAAATGTTTTGTCAAAATTCATTCATGGCTCCCAACATCAACCTCATTAACTCCAACCACTCCCACCACGAGCGAAACCAAGAATTAGTTCTGTTGCCCCATAATTAATCCTCACCACATCATGCTATCCCATACACTTAACCCACGACATATGAGCCACCAATTACACACTTCAACCCTTGTTCAAAATACAAAATTCAATCTCCCACGATGCACCACCAAAAATGCTTATACACTCGCGTTAACCAACCCATAATCCCTAACTAGAAAATCTAAATCCCACGTCCAAAAAAAAAAAAAAAAAAAAAAAAAACCACCGAAAGCCCGTTTTCACAAACAGTAATTGTCACCATAGAAAGCCTACATGATAAGACATAAAATGTCATATTTTACATCCATTAATACATTCATTTTTGTGATTAATTAACGCATAAATGTACTGAGTATCCTTATATTTTGATTTAGGTTGCAATTGGATGATTATGACATAAATTAGAGGAAAAGAGTGAAGAAGGACCAAAGTGGAAATCAAAAGATCAAGGATTGAATTGCAAATATCCAAAAGTTGAACCAGGAGATGAACGATAGAATGAAGATTCAAGAGTTTTAGAGGTCAAGTGGATGAAAAAGAAGTCAAAGAGGTGAAATATAGTCACACATCAATTTCCGATCGAAAAAGTAATGCACTGATTTTTAGCATCATATTGGGACCCATTTTCAACATGGTAAACGATCGAATTGGAAGATAACTTTTGAAGAAAAGTTGTAGATCTTTGAGTTATCTTTTCAACGCAACTTAAATCACCTCAATCGGATATCGGGAGAGAAAGTTATAACTAAAATACTGAAAGCTGTCCGACGGAGAAAATCGTATAACCATGAGGTCGCATGGTTCGTTTTCCATGCGGTCGTACGAACTGGTTCAGCAATTTCTGGAGCCTTTTTTATTGTTCCATGCTGTAGCATGGAAATATACCATGCAGCTGCATGGAAGGAATTCGAGGCACGATTTTTTATTTCTTTTTTCCGTCCAACGATATATGGAAACAAATCTTTTCACCACATAAATACCCTAATTCACTCTAGAACGTGAAAGAACGCCCCCAAATCATTTTTCTCTCTTTTGTGCTCTAAAATTGAAGATGTCTAGCTAATTTCTCATACTTGGTAGAGGATATTGAAGCCCCGAAATCTATACAACTGTGAGATCGAATTGTTTTATTAGTTTAATTCATGTTTTTGGGTATTGAACATTCTTTTGCACTTATTTTCATTGATTGTTGTATTTAATTGTTAGGATGTATACTAGTTTGTTATTCATTACAATCTGTTGCTAAGTTAAATATCAAATCCGTAATTATTTGATTGATTTAACTTGTGAAGCAACTAGGATTAATAATTTGCTAGTTTGAAAATTATTAAATCTTAGGAAGAATATTTGAATAGGTTAAATGCAAACGCTTGACTTGTGTTATCTAGTTCATTGATTTCTCTAATACGTAAAGCTGTTATTGAATTAAATCTTAGCGTTTGTCTATGGTTGTTTGATAAATATGATTAGTTAGAAGGTCGTTGTCCTAACTAATTATACTTAAGGAGGAATAGGAAATTAATTTGAATGGTAATTATTTTTCCAACGGTGAATATTCAAAATATGAATTGATTCATACTTGCATCTATGATCAGTTGTAAAATTTCAAAGGTGGATATTGACTCAGGCCAATGTTAGTTTTTTTCATTGCTTTAATCCAATTTATTAATTTGCATTGTTTTTAGTTAGAATTGATTTCAA